CTAGACTATAGACTAGACTATAGACTAGACTATAGACTAGACTATAGACTAGACTATAGACTAGACTATAGACTAGACTATAGACTAGACTATAGACTAGACTATAGACTAGACTATCTAGACTATAGACTACTATAGACTAGACTATAGACTAGACTATAGACTAGACTATAGACTAGACTATAGACTAGACTATAGACTAGACTATAGACTAGACTATAGACTAGACTATAGACTAGACTATAGACTAGACTATAGACTAGACTATAGACTAGACTATAGACTAGACTATAGACTAGACTATAGACTAGACTATAGACTAGACTATAGACTAGACTTAGACTAGACTATAGACTAGACTATAGACTAGACTATAGACTAGACTATAGACTAGACTATAGACTAGACTATGACTAGACTATAGACTAGACTATAGACTAGACTATAGACTAGACTATAGACTAGACTATAGACTAGACTATAGACTGGACTATAGACTAGACTATAGACTAGACTATAGACTAGACTATAGACTAGACTATAGACTAGACTATAGACTAGACTATAGACTAGACTATAGACTAGACTATAGACTAGACTATAGACTAGACTATAGACTAGACTATAGACTAGACTATAGACTAGACTATAGACTAGACTATAGACTAAACTATAGACTAGACTATAGACTAGACTATAGACTAGACTAGACTAGACTATAGACTAGACTATAGACTCTATAGACTAGACTATAGACTAGACTATAGACTAGACTATAGACTAGACTATAGACTAGACTATAGACTAGACTATAGACTAGACTATAGACTAGACTATAGACTAGACTATAGACTAGACTATAGACTAGACTATAGACTAGACTATAGACTAGACTATAGACTAGACTATAGACTAGACTATAGACTAGACTATAGACTAGACTATAGACTAGACTATAGACTAGACTATAGACTAGACTATAGACTAGACTATAGACTAGACTATAGACTAGACTATAGACTAGACTATAGACTAGACTATAGACTAGACTATAGACTAGACTATAGACTAGACTATAGCCTATAATAAAGGCTGCAGACTAGTCTATATACTGGACCTACTCCACCCTACACGTGTGTTCAAGGTGTTAGTTTTGTATCCTTTTAAACAGCATCCCCTTTTTGTTCAACTTTCCTTAAAATTTAATAAAATTCTTAAACAAATTTTATTAAATCAACAGCCTTCTTACTATAATGTGTCATTTATTAAAAAACAGAAAGACAGAAAGAATCGTTACATGTTGTTGGTTGTGTGTAAATATGCATGTATATTTATGACTACCTCTACAATAACGTTCGCATTCATAGATGTTTGTGGATTCACAACATTCTAATGAATAAGAAAAAAATAAATAAATTTTATAATGATTATATGCCAAAAAATACGTATATAATAATAAATGAGATAAGGACTGGAAATAGTCAGCTTGGAGCTTAAAATATGAGCGACTATTAAAGGCTATTTACGGTGATGAATATTTAAAGTTTGTGGGCTTTAGGTGGAAAAAAAACTGGAACAAAAGAACTGGCTTTTAAGCTTTAAGATATAACGAGTGTCCAACAGGAAAGATTTAACACAAGTTTGAGTGGTTAAAGTCCTTAAATATTTTGGATATGTGTGTGTTCATAATGATATACCTATAACGTATGTATATGTATGTTGTTTGTATGTATTTACGAACACATAATGTATACTTTTTAATTTATAACATTAAAAAAGTTGACTTTGCATATCTCTTTTTTATTTTATTATTTTAATGTTAAGTAATGGAATTTTGTCTATATAAGTGACAATACCTTTAGCATACACTCTCGCATACAAACAAAACTAAAAATATACACTCATACATCATTATTTACTCACTCTACCTATTTTTGTTTACCTGTATATCTTTACTTATAACACAGAACCAGGTTTACACACATACATTACATACCTATGTACATTACGTACTTTAGTGTGTGTCAATTTGTTTGTTTTTTTTTTCATTTTGTCGTGTTGTATGTATTTACGTATGTTGTTTGTTGGTATATTTGTTGTTTGAGTGAGTGTGTGCACAAAGTAGATTTGTGTATGGGTATGTATCATTAAATGACATCAAAAGCATTTAAACACGCCATAAAATAATTCATAATAATAATGAAAAATAATTCCAACTGTCACATTTTCTTAATGTATGTTTGCTGTACATCATTATGGGTTTTTTTTGGTGTTATATTTTGCTCTCCACACATTAAAGTACGTGAATACATACATATGTGTAGACATACATACCTACATATGTATGTGTGTTGCTACTTTTTTGTTTAATGTCTCTTGAATTTTTTGTACAGAATAACAATTTTTTTAATTATTGAAAAAAAAAACTGCAATGTGACCAGCAGTCAATGGCAGTTTCTCTTGATATAGAAATTTTCTACAGAAAAATTCTCTTGTTAAAATAGATTTTCTATAGAAATATATAGAAATATATATTTTCTATAGAAATATAGACTATAGACTAGACTATAGACTAGACTATAGACTAGACTATAGACTAAACTATAGACTAGACTATAGACTAAACTATAGACTATAGACTAGACTATAGACTAGACTATAGACTAGACTATAGACTAGACTATAGACGACTATAGACTAGACTATAGACTAGACTATAGACTAGACTATAGACTAGACTATAGACTAGACTATAGACTAGACTATAGACTAGACTATAGACTAGACTATAGACTAGACTATAGACTAGACTATAGACTAGACTATAGACTAGACCATAGACTAGACTATAGACTAGACTATAGACTAGACTATAGACTAGACTAGACTATAGACTATAGACTATAGACTAGACTAGACTAGACTATAGACTAGACTAGACTCTAGACTAGACTATAGACTAGACTAGACTATAGACTAGACTATAGACTAGACTATAGACTAGACTATAGACTAGACTATAGACTAGACTATAGACTAGGCTATAGACTAGACTATAGACTAGACTATAGACTAGACTATAGACTAGACTATAGACTAGTCTATAGACTAGACTATAGACTAGACTATACACTAGACTGTAGACTAGACTATAGACTAGACTATAGACTAGACTATAGATTAGACTATAGAGTAGACTATAGACTAGACTATAGACTAGACTATAGACTAGACTATAGACTAGACTATAGACTAGGCTATAGACTAGACTATAGACTAGACTATAGACTAGACTATAGACTAGACTATAGACTAGACTATAGACTAGACTAAAGACTAGACTATAGACTAGACTATAGACTAGACTATGGACTAGACTATAGACTAGACTATAGACTAGACTATAGACTAGACTATAGACTTGACTATAGACTAGACTATAGACTAGACTATAGACTAGACTATAGACTAGACTATAGACTAGACTATAGACTAGACTATAGACTAGACTATAGACTAGACTATAGACTAGACTATAGACTAGACTATAGACTAGACTATACACTGGACTATAGACTAGACTATAGACTAGACTATAGACTAGACTATAGACTAGACTATAGACTAGACTATAGACTAGACTATAGACTAGACTATAGACTAGACTATAGACTAGACTATAGACTAGACTATAGACTAGACTATAGACTAGACTATAGACTAGACTATAGACTAGACTATAGACTAGACTATAGACTAGACTATAGACTAGACTATAGACTAGACTATAGACTAGACTATAGACTAGACTATAGACTAGACTATAGACTAGACTATAGACTAGACTATAGACTAGACTATAGACTAGACTATAGACTAGACTATAGACTAGACTATAGACTAGACTATAGACTAGACTATAGACTAGACTATAGACTAGACTATAGACTAGACTATAGACTAGACTATAGACTAGACTATAGACTAGACTATAGACTAGACTATAGACTAGACTATAGACTAGACTATAGACTAGACTATAGACTAGACTATAGACTAGACTATAGACTAGACTATAGACTAGACTATAGACTAGACTATAGACTAGACTATAGACTAGACTATAGACAAGACTATAGACTAGACTATAGACAAGACTATAGACTAGACTATAGACTAGACTATAGACTAGACTATAGACTAGACTATAGATTAGACTATAGACTAGACTATAGACTAGACTATAGACTAGGCTATAGACTAGACTATAGACTAGACTATAGACTAGACTATAGACTAGACTATAGACTAGACTATAGACTAGACTATAGACTAGACTATAGACTAGACTATAGACTAGACTATAGACTAGACTATAGACTAGACTATAGACTAGACTATAGACTAGATTATAGACTAGACTATAGACTAGACTATAGACTAGACTATAGACTAAACTATAGACTAGACTATAGACTAGACTATAGACTAGACTATAGACTAGACTATAGACTAGACTATAGACTAGACTATAGACTAGACTATAGACTACACTATAGACTACACTATAGACTAGACTACAGACTAGACTATAGACTACACTATAGACTAGACTATAGACTAGACTATAGACTAGACTATAGACTAGACTGTCTCTTGTTAAAAGATATATTTTCTATAGAAAAATTCTCTTGTTTGAAGTGAAATTTAACTTCTACAGTTGGTCTCCTTTTGCCCCATTCCTCTAAATTATGTGTTATTTCATTTTCAGGATTTTCAGGATATATTTTTCATACATACATACATACATATGTATTGGTATATATTGCTTTTAAAATTTATGTATTATTATTTTTTCTTGCTACTGTTGTATTTTTCTCATTGTACATTGGTATTTGTTTAACTAAGTATGTATTTGTATGTATGTATGTATGTATGTATGTTTTTTCATACATACATACTTACTCATTATTTCAATATTTTTTGTATCTTTAACTTACCTGGCATGTTGTGGGCCAACATTACCCATATCATGTGCTGTACTGGCGGTTATTTGAAAATCTGCTATGGCTCCTGATTCCATACCCAAAGGATGTTTACATTGTGCTGCAGAGTAAAAAAAAGAAAAAATCAGGAAAAAAAATAATATGAAAAATATGTATTTTACAATGGCAAAAAAAAAGCTAAATTAGTGGCAACATACATTTAGAGAAGTTCTATAATACTGCTGCTGATGTTTCAGTTTCGAGTAAAAATGCTACAATTAAGTGGAGAAAATATAAGCAAAGTGTTGTTGTAGAATATGTGTGTATGTGTTTGTTAAGTATATTTGTTTGTATGTAAGTATTTATATAGAGTATAAGGTTAATATGCGTATAAAACTGAGGTTTTTGAACTCAATATATGATTGATTTTTTTTTTTCACTGCAAATGTTTTAACAAATTTTAAGTATTTGTATTAAAATTAAGAGGACAAGTGGCATGAACCCCGTTATTTATAAAGTTTTTGCAATGTAGTTTAATGCATATTGAAGTGTTTGTTGTAGCAATTATGTAAAGAAATTGAAAAAAGTTTAAAAAGGCATTGCAAAGTAATTTTAATTGCTGCTGAGAAAAACAAATTTTGAATCTAGAATCTTAAACAACAGTTTTTTAATTTCCTTTCTTTAAATGAAATCTCTTTATCACTTTCTTAACAATTATGAAGTATATAAATGTCAAAACAAATCAAAATCATAAATGTCATATATCTAATAATAACGCTAAACAACACATTTAACACAAGAAATGAACATAAATGTCATGATTTAAATGAAAACGAAATACATCATTTTCGCGTTTTCAAATCGCATACTTACAACAAGAACTACAGACAGACAGACGGACAGACAGACAGACAGACAGACAGACAGACAGACAGACAGACAGACAGACAGACAGACAGACAGAGACAGACAGACAGACAGACAGACGGACGGACGGACGGACGGACGGACGGACGGACGGACAGACAGTCTGTTGCAGCAAAAACTTTTCAAAGACAATAACCAAAGCAGAAAAAAAGTATATGAAAATATATCCAAAAAATAATAGAACAAAATAGCAAAGACATTTTTTGTCAAACAACAGGCAAAATATATAGGAAAAGGAAAGAAATGCAATAAAGAAAACGACAAAATAATAAATGTCAAAAAATTTACTTTCAAATATTTTCCTCAATGATTTATGAGTGAATTGTATTGTGATAAGTACTTAAATACAAAAAGAATAACAAGATTTGTTGAAAAATGTACAAAATAATTTATGAAAAAATTGGAAAATGTTTGCAGCGTTGAGTTTTAGCATTATTTGCTCCTAAAGAACTAAAAAGAGAAATCAAGCAGTGAAAGCTCTAAACAGTTCCTTCATAGAGGTAAAATATCACTTTAAATAAAATAAATTTTCTATTGAAAATATCATTTTTAACAAGAGAAATTTTTTGTAGAGAATTATTCTTCAAAAAAGAGAAATTTTCTGTAGAGAATTACTCTTCCAACAGGAAAACTTTGCTATAGAAAATAACTTTTCAAATGAGACACATCTTCTATAGAAAATCACTTTTCAAATGAGACACATTTTCTATAGAAAATCACTCTTCAAACAAGACACATTTTCTATAGAATGAGTTCTTCATTTGACTATAAGTCTACGTTTTTCTACATCACTGTTTTATATCTTTAACATTCATTGATTATATTTAAGTCAACCAACCAACCAAACCATTCCAATCAACTGCTACTTTATCTATTCATTTATATTTTTGTTTTTTGTAATTAATAATTTATGTTATTTTGACTGTTAATTTTTGCCATTTTGAGTCGTGTTTCTATAATTTATTTATTCCTCACTTTGTTTCCTTTTTCTAGTTTATAACCAGACCTACACATGATTATTGGCTATAGCTGTGACGCTACTAATACTAATGTTAGCATTGATTTCGTGTCTTGTTTCTTGGAATATTTTCAACATTGTCTTGTCTTGCTGTTTTTGTGCCATGATTGGACGACCACACACACTTTAACCAGATTTGCTTAAGACAACACACAAAAAAGAACACAGAACTGAAAAACGATTTAGGCCCAATAGTCATCATATTTTATCATGTCATGGCACTACTTCTACAGTCTACTACTTGCGGTGCTGTGGCGTTTGCTGCTGCTGTTACTACTGTTTAACTCCCAGTTGATTATTGCTACCGGTTTTCGTAAATGGTAAATTGTATAAATAAATTTATGAAATTGTATATTAAACAACAACATTGTAGGTTTTTTATTGACCATATTGCCATATTGGTTTTGTAAGATTGTTAGTGAATGGTTAAAAGAAGTTACTTCTATGGGTATATGAAAAATTTTGAGGGCACTACAGTTCATTTAAAAGGACACTGCAATTCAAAAATTCTAAAATCTAGTTTATGGTCTATAGTCTAGTCTATAGTCCAGTCTATAGTATAGTCTATAGTCTAGTCTATAGTCTAGTCTATAGTCTAGTCTAAAGTCTAGTCTATAGTCTAGTCTATAGTAAAGTCTATAGTCTAGTCTATAGTCTAGTCTATAGTCTAGTCTATAGTCTAGTCTATAGTAAAGTCTATAGTCTAGTCTATAGTCTAGTCTATAGTCAAGTCTATAGTCTAGTCATAGTCTAGTCATAGTCTAGTCATAGTCTAGTCATAGTCTAGTCATGGTCTAGTCATGGTCTAGTCATAGTCTAGTCATAGTCTAGTCATAGTCTAGTCATAGTCTAGTCATAGTCTAGTCATAGTCTAGTCATAGTCTAGTCATAGTCTAGTCATAGTCTAGTCATAGTCTAGTCATAGTCTAGTCATAGTCTAGTCATAGTCTAGTCATAGTCTAGTCATAGTCTAGTCATAGTCTAGTCATAGTCTAGTCATAGTCTAGTCATAGTCTAGTCATAGTCTAGTCATAGTCTAGTCATAGTCTAGTCATAGTCTAGTCATAGTCTAGTCATAGTCTAGTCATAGTCTAGTCATAGTCTAGTCATAGTCTAGTCATAGTCTAGTCATAGTCTAGTCATAGTCTAGTCATAGTCTAGTCATAGTCTAGTCATAGTCTAGTCATAGTCTAGTCATAGTCTAGTCATAGTCTAGTCATAGTCTAGTCATAGTCTAGTCATAGTCTAGTCATAGTCTAGTCATAGTCTAGTCATAGTCTAGTCATAGTCTAGTCATAGTCTAGTCATAGTCTAGTCATAGTCTAGTCATAGTCTAGTCATAGTCTAGTCATAGTCTAGTCATAGTCTAGTCATAGTCTAGTCATAGTCTAGTCATAGTCTAGTCATAGTCTAGTCATAGTCTAGTCATAGTCTAGTCATAGTCTAGTCATAGTCTAGTCATATCTAGTCATAGTCTAGTCATAGTCTAGTCATAGTCTAGTCATAGTCTAGTCATAGTCTAGTCATAGTCTAGTCATAGTCTAGTCATAGTTAGTCATAGTCTAGTCATAGTCTAGTCATAGTCTAGTCATAGTCTAGTCATAGTCTAGTCATAGTCTAGTCATAGTCTAGATAGTAGTCATAGTCTAGTCATAGTCTAGTCATAGTCTAGTCATAGTCTAGTCATAGTCTAGTCATAGTCTAGTCATAGTCTAGTCATAGTCTAGTCATAGTCTAGTCATAGTCTAGTCATAGTCTAGTCATAGTCTAGTCATAGTCTAGTCATAGTCTAGTCATAGTCTAGTCATAGTCTAGTCATAGTCTAGTCATAGTCTAGTCATAGTCTAGTCATAGTCATAGTCTCTTCCAAGGTCCAGTTACAATCTGGCAGTGGTCTTCACCATGTTCCAGTCTAGTTCATGATTTTCTTCATAGCTGGTTAAAATCGAGTTATATTCTTATCTACATAGCAGTTGTGTAGGGTGTCATTTGAAAAAAAATTTTATTTTTATTTTGGTTTATTAATGATGTGTAACAATTTAATATGCCATGATTATTAGAGGAAATCATATTTTTGGCTTCGACATAAAACGTGGGATGTGGGTGTTTTAGATTTTTTAAAAGACTGCAGATGGTTGCAGTTTTTTAATTCTAATCTTAACTGAAAGTGTTGCGAGTGATATTATCGCCTTGGCACGAGTAGATTGTAGACACTTATAAGATGATGTGATAGCAAATATTAAGTAGGGTATGATGAAGTCTTCGAGAGTTAACAAAAGTCACTCTATGTGAATACAAATATCCGATTCCAAAATGTGATCCTATATTTTTTATTACTCTGAATTTTATACTGTTGGTTTTTCACCCTTGGCTAAATATTGTCAACAACTGTTTGTTATATATACATACATATGCATGTAAATACTTCACCGCTACAGTGAACTGAATATAAAATATTTTTTGTGGAAATATGAAAAAAAACTTCAAAATATTGATATATGCAGGAAAAATGGGGATATGATGACATGACCTGGTCTAGTATTCATATGTTATGCTTGACTTATTCACAGATAAAAGTTTAACGAATAAATAAATATTGAAAAAAAAGTCAAATTGATTACAGATGAAAGTAAAATATAAATAATAGTTAAAAAACAATATATTAAAACTTACTACCTTTTAAAGTGAATATTTAAATAATTCCTTACACGACCTTCAATCAATTTTAATTTAAAAACGTTTAAAGTTTTTGGTCATTTTTTAATGCGTCAATATTTTGCAACAAAAATGGCAAAAAAAAAAAACAAGAAATAAAACTCCCATTACAAATTTATATCTTTGTCATTTAATTGCAAATAAGAAAAAAAAAAAAAAACAAATCATTTATATAAAAAGTCAACATGTGTTGAAGCAAAAAAAAAAAACTTAAAATCTTTCATGTACACGATGTGAAAAATTACAGTCATATTCCAAACAATCACTTTAGACTTTTGTCTGTTTGGTCAGTTTGCTTTGAAGGAAACGGGTTTTATCTACACTGAGAGTAAAACTCATACAAAAAAAATCTTATTAAATAGCAGACGAAATAAAATTTGTATTATTCACTAAATGGCACTACCTATAAATCCTTATAGTTTGTTTTTAATACTACTACCAACTTTTTTCTTCCAGTGTTT